ACCCTTTCCATCAATGTTCTATTCATTTTTATAGCTAACCCATTCAATTGTGGTGTCTTTGGAGGAGACTTTTGATGACGTATACCTTGATATTCCTCTTTGGTTCATATGACATAAAGGAAACTCTCCTTTTCATACCCGCCAAACAATGTGAACACTTTCTCAACTTTGCATCGGAGACACCATACAACACATTTTTTTTGCTAAAATTCTCAAACCTTTTTCACTCGTATGACCCAAACGCTTGTGCAATAATTCAGATGAGCTATCATTATCACAAGTGTTGATGTAGCACTTCGAAACCTCAAGTTGGATTACATACAAGTTTGAATTCCTTTTTCCTTTAGCAACCACCATTGAGCCTTTCTTTAACTTCCATTTATTTCCCGAAAAAGAATTATCATATCCTTCATTATCCAACTTTCCAATGGATAAAAGATTGAATCGAAGTTTTGGAATGTGTTTCAAACCTTTGAGAACTAGAGTTGTCTCATTTCTAGTTTCAACACAAATATCTCTCATTCCGATGACATTAGCTTGCCCATTATTTGCCATACAAACAACCCCCAAAGTCATTGATCTTGTAAGTAGAAAAAAGATCAAGTCTCGAGGTTGCATGAGTAGAAGCACCACTATTAATCATTTGATCCATCTTATCATATGATAGATTGACATTCGCAATACAACTATCACAAACAATAAAGAAATCATCAACAATAACAACATCTTCATTATTGTTACCTTCCTTTTTGTTGTTGTTGTTGTAGCTATTCTTCTTGTTTTCCCTTTTTAACTTACGGCAATACATTTTTATGTGCCCCTTTTCCCTACAATGATGACACTCAATATGAGATAATATATTAGAGCCTCCTTATGATTTACCACGTGAAGTTTCACGATTAATTGAACCTCTACTTTGATGTCTCCCCCTTGATTCGGTAATTAACACCTTGGAATATGAAGAAGAATCTTGTGACTTACGCCTTAACTCCTCATTCAACACACTACTTTTAGCGAAGTTAATCGAGATGATACCATTCGGAGTGGAGTTAGATAAAGATGTCCTAAAAGGCTCCCAAGAATTAGGAAAAGTACCAAGAAGCCATAAACCTTGTATTTCAACATCAAAAGTAAAACTCATCTCTGACAATTGATTAAGAATCCATTGGAAAGTGTTCAAGTGATCGGTCATTGGTGAACCATCACTATACTTCAATGACATCAATTGCTTGAACAAGAAAAACTTATCATTCTCCGTCTTTCTTGCATATAACTCCTCAAGTTTGGTCCAAAGAGAGCGAGCATGAGTCACTGAGCTCACATGATTCAAAATATTATCATCCATCCATTGACGAATATAACCACAAACTTGTATATGCAACAAAGTCCATTCTTCATCACTCTTTCCATCAGGTTTTTCATTAGAGAAAATTGGCAAGTGAAAACCTTTGACATAAAGCAAATCTTTCATTTTTCCTTTCCAAACATTATAATTGGAACCATTCAAACTCACCATCCTAGATGTGTTCGTCTCCATCGTTGCACAAATCAAACCAAGGCTCTGATACCACTTATTGGGAGAAAAACACAAATGCAATAGAATAATTCAACAACACAAACACTCCCAAATATCAAATGCAACGACAATCAACAAAAACACATTAAACAACACAATACAATTTTAGCATGGAAAAACCTTCATTAACTAGGAGTAAAAAACCACGGGACCCGTAGGCCACTTAAAATCTCCACTATAATCAATAATGGGTACAAGCAAGGCTCTCTCTAACACTAGTTAGAGGCATACATAAACATCATCAAGATTTGGAATCAATCTTGGAATACAACAAAAATCAACAGAGACAAAACAGCCCAAAAACACCAAGAAATTCAGACCTCAAATATGGACTCGACATACCGACTTAGAGAGCTCTGAATCCAATGAAAATCATTCACAATGTGATCCTATGAGTCATGAACGTTGTGTCAAAATTTAAGGATGATCTGATTGTTGGATTTTGCGCAAGCTCCATTTTTTTGGGACTGATTTGTGCAAAATTTGGGCTACGAGAATAGGGTTTTCTCTCTCGTTTTTCTTGTTATTTTTCTCACATAATGAATTAATAACTTAATTTTCTTCGTTGGATAAAAAACAGGCATAAACACACACGAGCCACTAACCCACATCCATTTGGACCTCTCCAAATAGGAGGGATAGCCCAACAAAAACCTGAAACAAACCTTTAAAGTGTGAGTAATTAAATATGACTTCGATTGCTTCAGATATAAAATTTTCAAATCCATGTAAATGCTCTTGTATGTTGATTGGGTGGGTGCCCTATCGAGTTGAGTGCATAACTGTGAGACGAGAGACTAGTCGAACATTCGTATGTCAGAAAAACTTTTTCAAGTCGATTTGATCGAAGCGGGGAATCAAAGTGTTGATAAAAAAAGTTGACATTCATTGGTAAGGACGTGAAACTGCTAACGAAAAACTTCTGTCAAAGTGAGAGAATAAAAATCACATGATTTAATCTAATAAAATCTTCTACTATATGAATAATGGATATACAAAAATTCTTCCTAGTAACACTAAGAAATAACAATCTTCATCAATAAACAATAAAAATAAGAAACTTATTCACTTTAAACAATACTTACATAAAATTGTGAGTATACCAAAACAACTCTAAAAAAGGATAAAACTACTCAAAAGAAATATAAATAAAATTAACCTAATAATAGAAACAACATATTAAATTTATAACTTAAACTAATAAAATCTGTTATATAGTCATCTATCTCTCTAAGTCAATTTTCTCTTCTTTTCTAACCATAACTATAGTGCCTTTTCCTATTCTCTATTTATGTTTTTCTCTAAAACTTTTGGTTAGTTGTTTTTTTTTATTGTGTTAATTTAAGGATTAAAAATCTTTTTTAACTATTTGTCAAATAAGTTTGGCCTAAATAAAATATTACACATAAAAAAAAACTTTTTTCCTGTTATTCTTTCTCTTTAAAAAAACAATGGTTGATTCCATTTTAAAAGCGAATCCTCCCAATGGTCAGACAATGTGTTCCATTGACAAAATAACAATATAAGTGTACATGGATGGAAAAAAGTAATTTACTTGAAGGAGAACATAGGGAGAACATATAAGTGGGTAAACTTACACTTGATTGTGTGATTGATGTAATGCAAATGTGAGTTAAAAGAGATTGGTGTAACATAAATCTGAGTTAAAAGTTCTACATTAGAAAGTGAAAGTTGTATGTGAAAAAGACTCATAAACTTAATTTTGATGTATCTCATACTTATGTGAGTATTCATGACTCAATGCGGATGCTTTTATTGTATCCAACAAAATTATATCTTTTATTGTTTTGTGATTCCCACAATACTATCAAGAGTAATGCTAATCAGTGTCTAAGAATACTGGTTAAGAATCATTAATTACATCATAAATTAATTGTATTATAACTTCATTAATATTCTTTAGAAAAAACTGACTATTAAAAATGTTATTTAAGGAAAAATTAGAAAATTTTCTAACTATACAAAGTATTAAATGATTTGTATTCACACTTTATTTTTTTTTTGAAAAAATTGAATTTAAATATATTTAATTATTGCATTGACTCAAATAAATTTATTCATTCATTTTCTCTTTCATACATACTTTATAAATGTGAAAATAATTAAAATTTGGAATTAAAATATTCTAACTTCATTTCAATATTATTATATGAGAACTTGATTTACTATTAAAAAAAAATAAACTAAATAAAAAATGTAAAAAAACTCATAACAAATTAAAATAAAATATTACAAAAAAATAAAATAATAGTTAAAAAACTTAAATAAAAATTTATATTTAATTTAAATATCAAATATAAATAATATACAGAAGTAAAGAGGCATTGTATTAAATACTAGTAAAAATAATAATATGTAACGTCTCATTTTTTTTTTTATATAATTAGATAATTTCAATTTTTTACTTAAATAACACTTTTAATGATCTATTTTTTCTATAAAATATTAATAAACTCATAATACAATTAATTTTATTATATAATTAATGATTTTTAATCGGTCTCTCCGGAACGAACACTGGTAAGGATTACCCTAAAAGCAAATACACAAGTGAAATGGATATTAGGAACTTGTAGGGATGCCCAAATATATTCATTTTAATATTTTGTTGTTAGATGATCATGATGTCAAATGTTTTATATATATCACGTGTAAATTTGCTACAGTTATTTCCATCAATACATTTTTTAATGTCTAAATATATTTAATTAGTGACGAATTTAACAACTAAATTTAAATTTTTCCGTTACTAATTATATAAAAATGATTAAAATAAAATATTTTAAAAGAGCCCAATAAATATTTTGCCTTCATTTTAATAATATATCCAAACATAGCCAAATATTTCACTGATATTAAATGTGTATGGGGAAAGACTTTGTATTTATAGTCATGTAATTACCACCCTATACTAACAGACACATGCCTCAAAAATAAAATATAAAACCGACAAACACATGCATTGTTGACAAACTTCACAAAACTAGTTGAAAATGCAGCCAATGCATGATTGACTGTCATTAGGTGACATGAATTCCACATATAAATAAACATTCATGAACAAAGTAGTTCAGACATGGCAATCAATAATATAGGTGTAAGTACTATATAAAATTTTAATTATTGATTCATTTTAGTCGTAAAAAATTATTTAAGTCAACTAATAAACTCAAAACATCCACGTTATATTGACATGGAAGAGAAAAAAAAACAGAAACATAGTTTCCCTTAACAAATTGTCACCAAATTTATTTTTATAATGTCAACTTGACATATGATTTTCTTATGGCTTACTTCATCATTAATTTGCTGCACATTTTTTTATATAAGTTGGTGGCAAATGAGCTATTAGTAGTATCTAAAGAAGCAGGTTCTTACTTTCAGATCAAAGAAGATACTAACCATGGTAAATGAAGTAATGTTTAGATATTTCTATGTCAGTGTCTCTTAGCTCACCGACCGAATTGTCGAATTGTCGAATTGTCTGGTTAGAATGATTCTTAACTTGTTTTGATTAATCCAAGTTGTTTGATGACTTGTTAGGGAATCTGTAGAGATATGTGCATGCAACCAAGGGTACAAAGAAGACTAGGAGGAAAGAGAGCTGCACTTTTTGTATATGGTAAATGAAAATCCTTTTTTTTTTCATTTTTTTATGTTGTTTAGAATGTTTTGTTTCGTTTAGTAAATTGAAGTTTCGATTTATGATGTTGCAGCTATGGAAGGGTTAGAGAACATGGCGTTTGTTGCCAATGCAGTGAGTTTAATAACTTACTTCCTTGGAGATATGAACTTCAGCTTAACAAAATCAGCTACAACACTAACCAACTTTATGGGAACTGCATTTTTACTACCACTTGTCGGCGGATTAATTTGTGATACATATTTCTCTAGGTTCAAAACTTGTGTTCTGTTCGCATGCATGGAATTGTTGGTAAGTTTAATCAATTTCTCTTTTGTCGTGATTGAATACTGACTAATCTATACAGGGCCTCTAAAAACTTAAGACTGCTATGTTACTAGGCCACTATGACCTAATACAACTCCCTCTTTTAACTGCAGGGATATGGGATCCTAACAGTTCAAGCGCGTTACCAACAATTAAGACCAATACCCTGCAAAGATATAGCACCAATTCATATGAACCAATGCAAGCCAGCGGCTGGAAGTCAAGCAGCTATACTTTATACAGGACTATACCTTGTTGCATTAGGAACAAGTGGTATTAAAGCGGCGTTACCAGCCTTAGGAGCTGATCAATTCGATGATAAAGATCCAAAGGAAGCATCTCAGTTATCAAGCTTTTTTAACTGGTTTTTGTTTAGTCTTACAACAGGAGCAATAGTTGGTGTTACTATCATTGTTTGGATTAGTACTAATCAAGGATGGTATTGGAGTTTTACTGTCTGCACTATTGCAGTCTTGTTCTCAATTCTGTCTATTTGCATGGGAAAATCATTATACAGAAATAATACTCCTAAGGGAAGTCCTCTAATTAGAATCATCCAGGTGAATAACTTTTGTTTTTCTTTCTATATGCTTCAAATTGCTACTGTATTAATTGGACTTGTTGAACTTTCAGGTGTTTGTGGCAGCTTTCAAAAACAGAAAACTCCAAATTCCAGAAAATGAAGATGAAATGCATGAGATTCATGAAAAAGAAAGAGGAGAAAATTATGAAATACTTACAAGGACGGAACAATTCAGGTTATAGATACGTTCAAATAAGTCAATCTAAACACGGCGGTAGATAAACTTTGATAAGTACTAATTTGTTTATTTCTTTTGTGGAAAAATGGATTATCAGATTCTTGGATAGAGCAGCAATTGGTAAAAACAGTACAGGATCATGGAACCTTTGCACAGTGACACAAGTAGAAGAAACAAAAATCTTAGTCAGAATGCTACCAATAATATTAAGCACAATATTTATGAACACATGTTTAGCACAGCTTCAAACTTTCAGCATACAACAAAGCACAACCATGAACACAAACATCCTAGGATTCAAAATGCCAGGACCATCTCTCCCAATCATCCCTTTACTATTCATGTTTGTCCTAATCCCTCTATACGACCGATTTTTCGTCCCGTTTATCCGAAGATTCACAGGGATTCCAACCGGAATTCGACACCTTCAAAGAATAGGAATTGGACTAGTTCTCTCAGCTATATCAATGTTAATAGCCGGTTTCATCGAAACACGCCGAAAATCCGTAGCAATAGAACACAACATGGTAGATAGCAATGAGCCTTTACCAATGACAGTCTTTTGGTTGGGTTTTCAATATGCTATTTTCGGTGCTGCAGATATGTTTACACTTGTTGGACTTCTAGAGTTTTTCTATGCAGAAAGTTCAGCTGGAATGAAATCACTTAGTACTGCTATTTCTTGGTGTTCTGTTGCATTTGGTTATTTTACAAGCACTGTGGTTGTTGAGGTTGTTAACAAAGTGAGTGGAGGGTGGTTGGAAAGTAATAACTTGAATAGGGACAAGCTTAACTACTTTTATTGGCTCTTGTCTGTTATGAGTGTTGTGAACTTTGGATTTTACTTGTTTTGTGCTTCTTGGTATAGATACAAAACAATGGAAGACAAACAAGGTGATTCAAAAGATGATGTTGTTGACATAGTTAAGGTTTAGTGTCAGATTTCTTGGACTATTTAATCTACATGTCCTTGTATAAAAAGAATTATTATGAATAAACTTGAATCACTTGATAAGGATTTGGTAAGTTTAAGTTAACATTAAAGATGCATAAGTAAACGCTTTCTTGAGATATTAGATGATTGTGAACTAGTTCCTAAAAATGAGGTGAATGACAATGGATAATTAATACATTTTTTTGCAACGTTTGCGCATGTTGAACCTTTAGACTTCAAAACAGCATTGGAAAATAAGGTTTGACAAGAGGCCCATGAGAAGACCTTGAAGAATTGAGGACATTGAGAAAATTGAAATAAGATAAGAGCCCCGTCAAGTCATAAATTTGAGAATGACTCTAGACAAGAAAGATGAAAAAGTAGATGATGGAGAGTATAATTATATTATTTAAGTTAATTTAGAATTTATATTGATATTTTTATTTATTGTTATTTAGTGAGTTCTTATTAATATTTGGGTCTTTTAATTTATTAGTTATTAGAGATATTATATAATGTAGTCTCATTGAGGTATTAGGAATAAATTAAGGAAATCAAAAGTTATTTTTTATCTTTATTTTTTTAGTTTATTTTTAGAATTTCTAATTTTTATTATCTTTTCTTTGACCAGTTAGGATTCTTATTTTAATATTTTAATATTGGTGCTTTCATTCTTGAACATCAAAACCTCCTATGACATATCCATCCCTTGATCTTTCACTACTCTATTTTATCCTAATCATTCCAACATCATCATTGTTACACTCTCATTCCCTTATTTTCCATGGGAAGGCCTTCCATTTTATTCCCATAACATCCCTTTTACTATCCCATCACAAACTTTCTCCTATAACCATGGATACACATCTCATCAACAATCACCCTTCATCTTCACTTATCCTTATTATTTCCTTGTTACAATCATATCACCTATATCATCTAACTCATATCCATCTCATTCGATAGCTCATAATTCATAAGTTTATCCAAACTACTACATCAATGGTTACAAACAACAACAAACAACCATTTCCATCACCTCAGCAGCATCACACACGCAATCTAGACTCTCATCTATATTTTAAGATATCAAGATGTCGACTTCTATTTATGATGGCACGGAGGATGCCTACTGGTGGATTATTTACTCTAAAAAAATATTTCAACAGTAGAGAAATATCAGAAGCATAAAAGATTAGTGTTGCTCTCACATGGTGACTATGGTGGTTTCACGGCCACCCAGACCCAAGTCGGGATACATTCACCACGACTTTGTTATGACATTTAAAACCTGAATGGCGAGAGATTTTGTCAATAGAAGAAGATGAAAATTCAGATATGGAATCTATGAAATACATCATGATAAGTTTATTTCTTGACGATTTTGTTGTTGTCTCTCCTATTTTTTGTGACCTAAGGGTTATGAAGATTTCACCCACTATGAAGCACATCCAAATTGATTTTTCACCCTGTGCTGAAATTATAAATCATATCTCTGTAACAATTCCCATGGCCAAATCATTTTCCAACAGTTTGGATTCTCACGATGTTGCAGATTTCATGGTTCCACCAAAATCTCTCGATCTTAGTTTTGAGTCGAACAACTTCATCATGCCTCCACCATCAACAATATTAGAGAGTCGAGAAACACGAGATCAACTTACGGCATCGATGCTTAAAGTCGCGATCAAGTTTTTGGCACTGTTGTCGGAGACTGATTTAGTTAATATTGTGATTCCATTATTATGCAGTATAGACTAAGGCAACATTTTTTATTACCTTTAATATTTTAATTGTATGCCAAGAACTCTATCTCAAGGAGAATAATTAGAGCAACCAAACTACAAAATCGAGCGTTTTGTTAGTATAAGACGTCGAACCCGAGAATACCAAATTAAGTATAATCTTCCCGAAATCAATCTTCCCAACTTTTCTCTACCTGAACTAGAACCAAGAATAGCTGAAGGACCCTAGAATTGTCCTCTTATGGATTATGATGTCCCATAACAGGAAGAACCTCACAACAGCATTGTTGTCTCCGCTATCACCCGAAACGATTTTGAGTTGAAGCCTTTGTTGCTACAAGTTGTCCAACATAATCAATTTTTAGGATGTCCAACAAACAACCCTAACCTACATTTATCAGTGTTTATGCAGTATGCAGACACAGTGAAAGCAAATGGTGTCAGCCCCAAAGCAATAAGACTACGTATTTTCCCTTTCTCATTACGGGATAGAGCTAGGGCTTGGCTCTAGTCTCTACTATCCAACTCTGTTACCACATGGGAAGAGTTGAAGAAAACTTTTCTAGCGCGATATTTTCTGCCAAGTAAGACAACCATGCTAAGAGTCAACATCAATGGTTTCAAACAAAAGGAAAGCTAATCTCTTTTCAAAGTATGGGAAAGATACAAAGACATGTTACGACTTTATCCATGACGATCTAGAAGAATGGCTGATCATCCACACCTTTTATAATGGTCTCTTGTATAACACAAGATTGACAATAGACGTTGCAGCTGGCGACGCACTGATGGATAAACCTTACCATAACGCTTATCAGCTTATCAAAAGTATGGCTCAAAATCACTACCAATGGGGAAGTGATAGAACCATTATAGAGAAACCTCAAGCGAAAGGTGGTATGTATGAAGTTAGTAGCTTAGACCAAGTTAACGCTAAGGTAGAAGCTCTTACCCAAAAGATAGAAAGCTTGACCACAACTTCCTTTAGCTGAATCCAACCTTTTTGCAAGTCTTCAAGAGAAGTAGGCATGTTGGGATGGAGGACGGTATACGGGACCTCTTCTTCAGCAACAGGCTCCACGATAACTGGTAGGATGGAGGGATAAGGCATCATGAGTTTCTGAGCACAAGCTCGCACCCACCTAAGATAAGGTTCAAAGGGAATAGAATTCTTGCATCCCAGTGTCCCACTATCTGCTTTGTTTACTGTTCTGGACTGGGCCCGACAGGCCCAATAGCATTGCTAAGGCCCAATCCAAATGGACTTGCTGAGGACCACACCGACCAAAGGGTCACAGTCGTGCCCGACGTGCTCCCTGAGGTTACTTGCTCGACCTCTACATCTCCAGCTCGACATCCTGCTGTCCAGCTCGACATCACCTCGAACACCCCAACTAGGGCAGACTCAATCGACTGCACTCCCAACAAGACCCCGAAAAGACCGCATCTCCATCCGCCCGCACTTCACGCAGAACATCCAGGAAGGGGACCACGTGCGGGTCCCCACTACGCACGTAGAACCTGGCAGTTCCTCCATTGGGCCAAACCTGCCCGGCCCAAGGGAGGAACCTTGGCCCAGCGCTGGGGGCTATAAATACCCTCTGTTTCCAGAGGGTCAGGTATTCATCATTCTACCCATACTTACTATTGCCTGCTCGTGCTTCTACTTACTTCAGCATCGGAGTGCCTTGCAGGTACCCCCCCCCCACCTCGTTCAAAACTTTCAGCTCGGAGCCAGCCGTTACGGTCCAAGTCTGATCAGGTTAGATCAGTGGCGCCGTCTGTGGGAAACTAGCTTCCCCGTCTTACAAACAACTCAAAAGACCAAAGCTCAAAATTCAACTACCTGTCATGGCTGATCCAGCTCGCGATGAGCAGAACGTCCGTGTCGCCGACACCAATAACGGCACGGCGGACAAAAACGGACATCTCGACAACGCCGGCAATCCCGGCCACAACACCATTCCTGCAACAACCGTCCCCGGAACTTCCTCGTACAGGGACGGTGCCACAACATCATCCTCCTCGCTCCCACCACCACTCGAGGACGACCCGGCGGCCCTCGCCCACTACAGAGTCGTCCGGTTTCAAGAGGTCCCCGTCCCCTCCGGGGCGGATGCCACCACACAAGCGCTATTCGCAGCAATTAACCAAACGAACTATCTCATCTTCGCCCAAGGAGAGAGATTAAAGGCGCTTGAAGACGAGAGAAGACCCTCGAGGAGGCATCGGAGACCACATACTCCCCCTCCTCGAGTGACTGAAGCTCGACACCCTTCTCCCCCGCGGAGACACTACAGGGAAAACTCCAGAAACCCTTCTCCCCGGCCAAAGCAGAGGCGACCCTATTTGGAGAGAGAGCTCGTCATCCCTACCGGAGAGCCCAGTCGCGACCCGGCGAGGCACGACAAGAGACACGTCGGAGACGGTCGTGTAACATTCAACCAACGAGCATCACGCTCGAGGGAGGCTCAGCACGACCACCGTGCCAGACAATATTACAGGTCCCTATCTCTGTCTCCGGAGAGGAGCGACGAGGATGACCCCCGCGGTCCCCTGTCGCAGGCCATCATGGATGCACACATCCCCCCGGGCATGGAGAAGCCCCCACATCTGAAGGAGTATGACGGAGTTGCGGACCCGGTCGACCACATTGACGGGTTCGAAGCCATGCTCCATTATCATAATGTCGGGGGGCCCATCAAGTGCCGTCTTTTCCCCACGACTCTCAGGAAGGCGGCCATGGACTGGTACAAAGGGCTCGCCCCGGGCTCAATCACCTCCTGGCGTAACCTGAAGAACCAGTTCATCAGTTCCTTCACCGCTTCTCGACGCCATCTAAAGACCGAGGCGGCGCTCGAGGCCATCATCCAAAGACAGGATGAGACCTTGAGGGAATTCATCAACCGCTTCAACCGAGAAGCGATACAGGTCCCCTGCACGGACCACATGAAGAGATATCTGCTGGAGAGGGGGCTCCTCCCCGGCACAGAATTCAGAAAAGCCGTGGGAATCGAGCCGCCCAGGTCTTTCGATGCCCTCCTCGATAAAGCTCGGGCATACATGGATTACGAGGAGAGGGAAGCTGCCAACAGGGCCCGAGACTCCGGGGCTCGGGGTCCCAACAACAATAGCAGCTCACGCCAAGAGGCTCCTCCCCGACGAACCGGGGAGAAAAGGAAAGAAGACAGACCCCAGGAAGTCCGGGAACAAAGGGGCCCCTCGGGCCGTTTCACCGAGTACACTGCGCTCACAG